AAATAGACAAGCAGAGGGAGATTTACGCCCCGGTGTGTTTGAATTCGGAGTGTTTCGATACATTCTGAAAAACGGCCGAATTGCATCTCGTGACACCCTCGTTCCTTCCGATTTGAGATGAACACGTTTAAAGGTATCTACAAACCGTTCGGCTCGCCCATTCGATTGTGGATGGTACGGAGGCGAAAATTTGTGCTGGATTCCGTTTTGCATGCAAAATTCTCGGAACAGCGTTGAGGTGAACTGGGCTCCGTTGTCTGTAACCAGCATCTCCGAGGTGCCAAAATACTGGAACAGTTTGATCAGCTCATTGATAGTGTGCTGGGCGGTGGGATTTTGCATCTGAATCACGTCGGGCCATTTTGTGTAGGAATCAACAAAAATCAAATAAGATTGACCGTTGATTGGTCCCGCAAAATCCAAGTGGATTCTCTGCCAGGGCTTCTTCGACTCGGGATAAGGGTGCCACGAACATTTCGGAGGTGTCTTTGCCGCTTGTTGACAAGATTCACAATTTTGGCAGAACTGCTTGATTTCTGCATCCATTTGAGGCCAATACACAAAACGTCGCCCCAGTGTCTTCATTCGGCTGGTTCCCGGATGTCCTGAATGAAACTGCTGTAGTATTCGTTTCAGCAAATTACTTGGTACCACGACTTGGTCTTCAAACATTAGACACTTGTCAACGACCGAAAGAGATCCGCGTTGATTAAAGGAAGGTTGTAACTCATTCGAAATTCTGACATTAGGCCAACTGGACTGCACAAACCCTATCACTTTCAGCAAGATATCGTCTCGAGCCGTCTCTGCACGAATCGTGTCCGACGTTATTGCCAACTCCCTTACACTGTCAACCAGGATGCGTTGAACTTCCGACGCGAATTTGACATGCAATCACGCAGTCATCGTTTTCCTTCAAGTGCGAACTGAGAAGGCGAGATAGAGCGTCAGCTTGGCCGAGTTGTTGTGTACATCGGTATTGTATACTGAAATCGTAAGCCAGCAATACGGTTGCCCATCTCTGTAACCGACTTGCTGTGAAAACAGTAATACCCTTCTTTGATCCAAATATCGAGAGTAGAGGTTTGTGGTCCGTGATCCGTATGAAATGTCTACCATATAGCCACTTATGAAACCGTTTCACTGCGAAAACAATTGCCAACGCTTCCTTCGCAAGCTGGGTGTGATTTTTCACCGCCACTGTCAGCGACCGTGCTGCGTATGCAATGACCTTCTCTTCTCCTCCTGGGAACACGTGAGAAATGACAGCACCTACTCCAAAATTGAAGGCGTCCGAAGCAACAACAATCTCCAAGTTTGGGTCGAAGTGGGTCAAAAGCAAATCAGAACTGAGCACTGCTTTACCTATATCAAAGGATTGTTGGCACTGCTTTGTCCATCGCCATTCTTTCCTTTACATCAGCAACTCGTTCAGAGGACGTCTTGTCTGATGTAGACTTGGCAGGAAGGCACTATAATGACTTATAAGACCGAGTAATGAACGAAGTTCGGCAACATCCCTTAATGGTGGCATTTGGTTGATGGCTTCAATATTAGCGGGATCCGGACGTCGGACATGTTTGTCAATGATGAACTCGAGAAACTTGACACTTTCCAACAGGAAATTGCATTTTTCCGCTCGTAACCGGAATCCAGCTTCTTCTAGGCGAGTAAGCACTCTCTCTAAGGTGGCCATCAATGCTTGTGGGTGAGACCCCATAATCAATGCGTCATCCAGGTAGACTGCGACCCCAGGGATATCGTTCAGCAGTGTATCCATGATTTGTTGAAAAATGGGGGAGCAGTTTTCACTCCGAATGGCAACCGATTGTATTGGAAAAGACCCCGATGCGTGTTGACAGTCAGTAGTGTTCTACAGTTCTCGGCTACTGGAACTTGCAAGTAAGCATCAGCTAGATTGAGTTTCGCAAACCATTTTCCACCGTTAAGCTTGGTGAACAAATCTTCAGGTATAGGCAAAGGGTACTGGTGGTTCTCCAACATGGAATTTAAGCCGGTTGAAAAGTCAGCACAAATACGTACCTTGCCATTGCCTTTCGTTATCATAACGATGGGTGCCGCCCATTCTGAGTAATGTACGCACTCGATTATGCCTTCCGACTGCAACTGATTTAGTTCAGATTCCACTAATGTTTGTGCTGCGTAGGGCACTGGACGTTTTGGTCTAAAAACTGGTCTGGCGTTTGGTTTGAGGTTCAGCACAGCTCTGGCTATCCGGCAGCATCTAAGACCGAGTTGGAACAAACTTTCGTGGCGTCGCATCAGTTCTGCAGTTTAACTGTAAAGTTCGAGGTTTATATTCTGCGTCTCCGCGGGTTTCTCGACATATAATTCCTGGCACATACTGTCAACTGACTGGTCAAGTAATTTCAATTTCTCCATCCAATCGAGACCCAGCAAATTCAATCCTTTTTGATCTGTCACGAAACAGGTTGTGCGGATGTGCTGCTCACGGAAACTGTCCTGACAATGCAACTCACCGGGAAGTTTCAAAATACCACCGGATGCGTTACGTGCTGTGTGGTCTGAGTGGACAAGCGGTGGTCGTCCCAGCATACACCATGTGTCTCGACAAATCAAAATGATGTCTGACGCAGTACCCAGCTGCAGCTTAACTTCTTTATCATTGATCTTCAACATTGTAAACTTACGCCTGCTGACACCGTCAGCCTTGAAAGTCGTCGTCACAGTCTTGGCTTCGTTGTGACATCGAAAGCGCACCGGGATTCGACGACGTATTCCGCTCATTGTTGGTCGCTTCGCAAGACAACACGACTCTTTGTGTCCTCGCTTACCACAGAGATTGCAAATATGATTTCGGAAGGGGCAGTTTCGACCAAAGTGCCATTCTCAGCAAAATCAAAAAGCAGAAGAGGGTTTAGAATGTGGTGAACTCACATGAACCGATTCTTTCTGAGAAGTTCGGCTGACCCTGAAAATTATGTCCTGGCTACTCTGGATGGATGACTGTTAGAACATCGCAGCATCATGCTTCAAGTTCATCAACCGTTGGCATTCGTTCGTCACTTCCAGCAGTGTGATCTCGGAATTTTGTTCAATTCTGCTCAGTACTCTTGTTCGGGCATCAGCATCTTTGGTTGCTTGAAAACCCCACATACATAAGCCACTTGAACTGATCAGCTGCCATCTTGTGAAACAGCGACCGTTCACACTCACGATTTACGCGACTCGAGTAAGTAACACAGTCTTCGTCGTCTCGCTTGGTCATTGTCAGGCACCTGTATCGAATATTAAATAATGACGACTGCTCTCCAAATATCTGGGACAAAGTAGCAACCGCTTCAACGAATGTTAAATCAGTGCACTTTTTCGGCAAGATGAAAGTCATAAATTTTTCATGCTCGGCCGCACTCAATTCCAGCAGCATGAGGCGAACTCTCTTGTTCTCTGAAGCACCGGCTAAATCAACGCGAAACAGGTCTTCGTATTTATGGAACCACGATTCAAAGGTAATACAGGCATCGGCATCGGAACGGAACTCACAAACTTGCTGGGTCAAGGTTTCTACTGAAGGGGAAGGTTCACTTGTTCCCGTTACCGAGCCTGCTTGTAGTGACAAATTCTTGGTCAGAGTTACGATCAACTTCGTCTGTGCTTTCTCAAACTGCGCCTGCTGTTGCTGCAACAGGGTCTGCAATTGTCCAAAACTGATTGACATCTTTAGGTTCTTCTGACTCCTGTCGCCAAGGTTGTAAAGCTGCCTTCGTACTGCTGCACTGCTGCTATTCTGCGCCTGCGAGACTACGACCACCTGATGACTCAGTCACACGCCCAACCAACCCACGGGATAAAGAAGGCCAAGGCTCGGTAAACAGGGAGACTATTCTACACGATAGGTCAGTTCTATTTATTGGTGAACAAAACATACTAAATTTCTAAGCATTTGGCTCTCAGCCAATGTGAGTTAATTCCGTCCCACGGACTTTCCATATTTGGCGGAATGGTTCGCTTCCGTTGACTCGGGCTTGTATTTGCTGACCAATCAGTTTGCATTCGATTCCCAAATTTGGTAAAACAGTCAAAGGTCGTTCCACGCTCGTGCTGGTGACCTTCGCATGCAGCCGACAGCTCAAGTGCTCCGCGGTAAGCCTGTGTGCGACCTCGTATCTGGACACTTGCTCCGCTTACCTCTCTTTTAGCTGCATAATGTTTAGAAGTGAAATGTCCTACGCGTAGGTCCACCTTTTCGGTGACAAGGGGAAATCGCAACCAGATTTGCTAGAAGTACTAAAAAGTGGAACTGTCAAAAAATTTGTCGTATCCATGCTGAATGGTCTCTGAACCCACATTGAAAGTTACCGGAAAAGGAGATACGACTGACATAGATAGAGCGTATTCTGCACTAAGAAAGATCTGGGTTTATGTCTAACCAAACAAGTGCCGATAACTGCCATTGAGAGAAGTGTGAATTCCAGTCGGTGACCTTTGGGGCCCGCGTTAACCACAGTGAGCGCAACGCCAGTTCCTGGCCAGTTAGGTGAGTGATGGAGAAGGTCACAACACAATGTTGCCGACACACAAACAAATGTTCACGATCATGTCTGATGAACGGAGAACTGACCGATAAGACTGTAGATTATTCGGCAATTGCCAATCATTCTTGGGTATCCACAATGGTGATTAACTAACATTTAGCAGCTGTCATGCGGAGGAATTTACACCTCGGCAAAAAGAGCAAAGATGGCATTAACATCGTAAAATGCTCTCTCATACAGGAGGACTAGTCCCAGGACGCGAAACGCAGACCGATAGTTACTCCCTTGGTAAATCGTTGCATAGTCGACCGGTATACAGAATTTAAAGTAAATGCGATAACGACAAGAAGGGAAGTAAGCTACCAAACAGGTCATGAAACGGAACGTTGAGCACCGTTTAGGATCACAAGTGACTACTGATAAATCTAGAAAGTAGATAAAGACAAAGTAAATGAACGTGGTGATGGACAATGTTCTACCTACCTTGTATCTCTCGCATGAATGACCAACCATCTCTTTTTTATTTCTAATCCAACAAAATTCCGGTTCAGGGTAAGCGTAAACAGAGAACGATAGAGTCACACTTTCTCCTGACACGACACGAATAATGGAGTGCGGAGTTGCGTCGTCGCAGTACGGTGCCTTGGGAGGAAATTCCAGGGTCGACGATTCTAGTCAGAAAATTGGTTTGGAAATTTAAGCGATGTTCAATGAGCATCTTAGTGAACTGTTCAATATTCACTTGTACAAATCACGTATATAATTGCCTACTAAACCCGGTTTAAAATCTTCAACGGGAAGGGAATACCTCATGAGGACCAAGTGCTAAGAAAGTACCACGATTTATGCTAATTAGGCAAGTTACGCATTCAGGTTTCCAATCAGATAATTGGATAAAAATTAGAAAGTCGCATACAGTCAGTTGGGTGGGGCGATTTAACTCATACAAAGTAAAGCGTCTCAAATGAACACCACAAGTGGTACCTTCGGAGATGGACATTCTCAACAAGGACAATAGATGCAACCAGATAGGGCATTTTATAGGGAAACGGTACACCATCGGTCTAAACAACTCAAGGGGATTAGAGGATGTTGTTGTAGTTGATTTCTTTGGATGAGCTTTCATGAGAAATAAAACAATGCGTAATACTTTTTCGGTAAAGCCGCTTGCATCGATCTGGAAAACTGTTTACGTTTCGCCTCCTGTTGATTATTCGCTGTGAGACACCGCGGTTCCGATCGTATTTACCCTTTCAACCGGTGTACCTTTGAGCGCCATACTTGTTCTTCCAACTGGGCGGTAGTCAGTCGTTGGTATGTTTTCCCGCATGAAAGTCCGATAATCTGCTTTGGGCTTTGGGAGCTAGTGCGAAACGTGTGAACCGAGCGATTATCCATGGCGATTTTCAATCCGTAACAGGAGATGAGTGGTGTGAAAGTGCTGAAATCTCATTGTATATAACAGGTATGCATCAAATAGACAGTCCGAAGAATTCACATCCATCGACTTGATGTGAACAGGAAGATTACCCTTGCAGTGCCATGGACACACATGTCTCTGGCGACTACATGTAGCGATGTACCCGCAATTCTCAAAAAGGCGCCGATGAGAGTAAAAATTCAGCGGTGTTTTGATGCGTTACGTCACATTAAGCATATTGAAGTGGATGAAACAAATGCAGCCTCTTTTTTCCCTGACCTTAAAGCTGGAGAACGTTTCAATGGAATGAAGGGTGCAACAAGAAATGAGATCTTTTACTACATCGGACAGTGCACTTCTTGCAAGATCTCATTGTTTTATTGACTTTCAAATAAGTATCGACAACTCGAAGTGGAAAGCCGACCGCTGACTTCATGGTTGTGGATAAAACATCAGCCACCCAGTCGATATCTGGTCACCCAAATGCGGCACCAGTAGTTCAAATCCACGTGTTATTCAAGTAACGTTTTACGTTCATAAGGCCACTTCAAGCAAATGTTCAGCCTACAGAGTGCCCGATCCGTAGCCTAAAGATAACAAGCTTATCTCGTAATATGACGGCGCGGGTTCGAGCCTGCGTAGGAGCAGGGCGACCTTCGCAGTATCCTTAGCCAACGTGCGACCGGTGGTGGTTGCGCGGCAGCGAAGCGTCGGTACTGCGTACCGGTGTACTGCTGATGTATTTCTTTACAGAGAGAGGACACGGAACATGAAAAAGAAGACGGAAATTGTAACTTACCAAACTACTGAGTAGGTACTAAAAGTGAGGAATCACTAACCACCAGTTCACTTCATCAGCCAGGAGTGACAAAGTGTGTATTGGAAAGCCATTTGTAGAGAATACTAGAACATGGGGCTAAACATAATCTTTACGGTGGAATCAACAGATACCCACCAAAACAGCTGTTATATCCATACTGTCTTCTTTCTAGGGAAGCGCTATGCTAACAATGTCACAGTACGGATTCATGCGGTCGCATGGCATCTCTGACCACTCCGTAATCACACTAGTGCACCTGCGGCAGACAGTAAGATATCATCAGGAAAGTAACTAGCTGGATGGTTGCAAGTGTAAAAAGATATGAGATCCACCACGAAACATCCAGCGAGAACGCATTGGGATGCCTTAATCAATGGCAGCATATTCTTTGCCAGGCAGGTTAGCATGTACCGGTAAGATAAACAAATGAATGGTATATTGTCGAAGATGAAAGGCACACCTGCATTGGCATGAACATGATAAAACAACAAGCATGATCAATAAATATACTGAAATGTTACAAGATTACCGGTAGCACTGAATCCAGATTGAAGTTGCATTTATTGCGCTTCTTCGCTGTTGGACTATAGCGAATTAGGCTCGTTCTGAATCACACTAGATTTAATTGAAACCATTTTTATTTGCCAAGTTTCTTTAATCCTTCCCTGCTTACTTTGTGTATGTATTTTTCTTCATTTTCGGTGTTAGTCGGTTGACATCTGACTTATACTTACACACGCCCAAGATCACCCTGTTGAAAGGATGTTAGATATGATACGTTTAAATAACGCGCCAGTTTATGAAAAATATGGGTTAACTATAAACACGGTGGCATACCTCAAGCATTTAATAGTGCCGTCTCCTGAGAACAGAAATAAGACCCGGCGTATTAGCTTTTTGATTACAGTAACTACTTCGGCTGTGTACACCGCAAATGGTTGTTAATGATCCGTTTGGCAGTGGAATTCAACCATACAGTTTTCATCCTGAGAGATTTTGTCGCGAAACGCATAGAGTTTGCCGGACTTGGTGATAAAAGCTCGTTGCCGATCAACACGAATTCTGGTGTACACCAGGCAGACATCATGCCACCATCCATATTTTGTACCTAAATTGGCTCAATAGATGTCACTTGAAGTGATTTCAGGCTTCACTCCCCTGAACCACCATCTCATCAGATAATTTACAAACATGTGTAGACAAACACACCATGCGGTATGAAACTCATCACCTGTAGCTGAAAGCATTCAAGATCCACGTTGCCCCTTTCTCATTATATATGGAACAGCGTTATGAGCAAATTTAGGCAGAATGCCCTCACCTTCACAAGTCGGTCGGTTGCTGAGTGGTCAGCACGCCTGACTTGCAAGAGTAGTAACCTGCGGGGCAGTGGAAGATAGGTTGTACTATATGTCAGTTAGCTAGCAAATTATATAGTCCAGCTGTCTTCCCATATGGTTCAGCAACTTAAGGTGCTGGCTAGATGGCGTCAGCTTCTAGGGGTCATGGGCTCGATCCCCAGTAGGGACTGAGGGAATGCGCATCACTGACGAGCTCCAATAGGGCGAAACGCGTCTGGTGCCTTTCCGGATTGTGGATGAGCTATGTAGCTTTTGAGCTGCTGGGACGAATAAATAAAAAGCATAAAGTCACCGGTTTGAATCCGCGTAGAGGCGAGCGTCCTCGCGGTATACTCAGCCCATGCGCGACTGGTGGTTGTTGCGCGGCAGCAAAGCGCTGTTACGACGTACAGCTAACACATTTACACTCAACTGGTTCACGGTAGTATCTAAGACTCAAGTGATGACATGATTTACCATGGTACCTCATGTGAAACAAGCAGTCAGAAAAATCCAGAAAACGCCATCTTACGCTTCGCGTCTGAGATATTAACGGCCTCTCGGTCTAATTCTCCGTATTATACCAACTCGCGATCTAACCCAATGGCCACATTGCACATAGGTGATTATTCCGAGTTTAAATAGTGAGCGTTGTAAAGCAACATTTTTGTAGTGCGTGGTCGTAATCATAGACGGTTTGGGTTGACATCATCGTGTTGATTTCTGCAAAAAAATGCAATAAAAATAGTCACTGGTGCCAGCAACCACCTACATAGTGCATTATCCTTAATTACAAAAAAAAAAACCGAAGTGAGATGTGAAATTACTTACTTATTTCGTGCAGTGCTATTAATAACAAACATGTAGCCAAGGAACGACATAACAAGCACAAGGTCATAAGAGATAAATTGGTGGTTAACCGGATGCCGATTAGCACAGATCTTGCCATATATATCTGTATACGAGCCTACAGTTCTTCGAAGACCCTTCAGTACCTTTGCAAGGATATACTGAATACTGAATACTGTATTATAGAGTAAGCAGAAATGGATTCTGTACAACTCTTTCGAAATATGGTGAAAAACGTTATAAAAGTTGTCAACCGTGAATATCATTGTCGTTCTCATGTAATATTTAAAATATTCGACTTACGATATTTCAGGATTCACAAATGTTATATGTCATCGTAAGTGTGCAGTCGTTCTCTGAATCGAATAGTGGCAAAATACAAATCTAACAACGTTTTGAACTGTTGCACAGATGATGCCTCAATCACATGTTCAGGCAAACTGTTCCAAATGTTTACCACTCTCCGTTCGAAGCACAGTGGGTGGGAAACACGTTTCATATCCGGCACGACAAGTTTGTATCTGTGTCCGCGTGTGCTGCATGGCCCTCGTAAGTGCAGCATTGACCTTAGCATGGGGAAGTCACCGAGATGTAGAATACGGTAGGTCATAATGAGGTCGACTCGCACCCGACGGTAGGACAAGGTGTAGAGTCATAGTTTCTCGCACCGGTCTTCATACCCAAAGTCACGTAAACTCGGGATGAGCCTGGTAGCAACGTGTTGGACCCGTTCGATCTTTTGTGCTTCGCCTCTGGTAATCGGAAAGTAGGCGGGCGAACCGTACTCTAGCATTGGTCTAATGATAGAAGAGAAGAGGCGAGTGGCAACCTCTTCAGACCATGTGCCGAAGCTACGTTTGAGCGCCCAAAGCATGCGCAGTCCGTTACGATATAGCCTGTTCGTGTTGTCCACGGACTTCAAATCCTAGCGTGAGAGTACACCTAGGTCCTTCACGGAGGGTGTGGGATATAGCGTTTGGCCGTCAAGTGTGTAGGTTCGGCCTATAGCACCCTTCCCCAGGCTCATAAATACAGACTTGGTTGTGTTGACCGGGAGAAGAACTTCTGCAGACCATGTGGATAGGCAGTTGAGGTCTTGTTGAAGTAGGCCACAGTCATCGGGAGCGTCAATTTCGCTCCAAATCTTCATGTCGTCCGCAAACAAGGCACACGGCGACCGGAGAAGCTGCGATAGATCGTTGATGTGGATCAGGAACAGAGTGGGCCCCAGCACATTGCCTT